CGAACGAATGAGAGAAAACGACTAAAAAGTCGCAACGATCGGATTAACCAAACGAATGAGATAAAACGACTAAAAAGCCGCAACGATCGGATTGACCAAACGAATGAGAGAAAACGACTAAAAAGCCGCAACGATCGGATTAACCGAACGAATGAGATAAAACGACTAAAAAGTCGCAACGATCGGATTAACCGAACGAATGAGATAAAACGGCTAAAAAGCCGCAACGATCGGATTGACCGAACGAATGAGATAAAACGGCTAAAAAGCCGCAACGATCGGATTGACCGAACGAATGAGATAAAGCGACGGTCAAATGACCGAGCAAGTTGGGTTGCAACGGTCAAACGACCGAGCAAGTTGGGTTGCAACGGTCAAACGACCGAGCAAGTTGGGTTGCAACGGTCAAACGACCGAGCAAGTTGAATTGAGGTGGTTATATAACCACAACGGTCGAATGACCAGAAAAGTAAAGTATCAGTATGGTCAAATGACCAGAACAGTAGAGTATGAGTATGGTTGAGTGACCCGAAAAAGTAAAGTATGAGTATGGTCAAGTGACCGAAAAAAGAGTAGAGTATTAGCATAGTCGAATGACTAGAAAAAGTGGAGTATCAGTATGGTCGAATGACCGAAATAGTAGAGTATCAGTATGGTCGATTGACCAGAACAGTAGAGTATGAGTATGGTCGAATGACCGAAAGGAGTAGAGTATGAGTATGGTCGAATGACCGAAACAGTAGAGTATCAGTATAGTCGAATGACCAGAAGGAGTAGAGTATGAGTATGAGTGTGAGTGTAAAATGCAACCAAAAGGCTGGGTGAAAGTAATGATTAAAAGATCCGCAACCATGAAACATATGCAAGTGAGACAACTTTCACATAAAAGATGATGGAAAATGAAGAGAGGTTAAGAAAAACTTCCCTGAACATGTGGTGGATGTCCTTACTTTGCAACAGTCAAGTGTCCTCTGTGTTGTGCATCCATTAATAGGCTTGATGACATGTTTTGCATAAAGTTTAGTGACTTGAGAAAATCTCTAGTTCACTGGGGAAAATTCTCAAATCATTGCGAGGTAGGATAAGCACCATGACCATCGAATCAAGCTTTTGCTTTTCTCTGCAACCCTCATCTCATTTTCAGATTTGTCAAGAGATTTCAGTTAAGTAAAGCAATTATATTAACCGCAATAAAGCATCATAACCAATCAGCATCCCAATCTAAACAAGGAAAAGAAGGCCGAGGCATGGATAATATGAATGGATAAAAAGAAAGACTAAGATGTGGGTAATATGGAGAGAGAATGTACTAAAATTTCAAGGATGATGAAATTTTGAGATAAGCATTTTTTTTCTTTTTTGAAGGGCACAACTTTTGATGCAACAATTTTAACAAGGTTAGAAGACATTCAGGCTATAAAGCATTTGCTTCAAGAATTTATTTCTTTGTAACTCCACCAATCCAGTCTTTAGCATATGAGACAATGTCTACTTCCATGTCAAGGTGAACAAATCCAATCTATCTCCTTCCCATGAACTAACCTTCAATGTTTAGAAAACTGATCATAAACCACAAAGCTTTTGGCTGACTTGGACTCACTAGAGAAAGGATTTTTTTTTTGTTCCTTGACAAAGAAAGTTTCAAATCCTCAAATAAGGACTTTATAAGCTTGTAATGTGGCCAAGGGTTAGGCTAATATGAAAGAAAGGATAAAGGCTCAAAATCAATTCCTTCATATAGTCCCCTCACATTTCTCTCTTCACAACCCCGGTCATTAATGTGGGTTAACAAGAAGAAAATCATCTTGGCTTTTCTGAATTTGGATGATTGCCTTTTTCCAGCTCAAAAGGGGTGACTAAGGACAATGTAAAGTGTTCAGGACAAACAGACATGGCCACTCTTTATGGAATCTATTAGCTCTTGAATTTGATCATGATTTGCTATTCTTAGTTTAATGATTGCCATCATTTTGATTTCTAAAGCTTTAAAACCCTCAAAAAGGACTTTTCCTTGGGTTGTAATGGGGTTTGTTTAAGGTTTTATGAAAAGAATGGAAATTAAAGGCTCAAAATTAACCAACATGCCCCTTAAGTTACATGCCTTAGCTAGAAGCTTTCTATTTTAAACCCTTGCCATGTGACATTTGCATTGTCATTTCTCTCTTTTTTTTTTTTTTGGTTGGTTGAGCTTTTACACTCTTTGAACTTTGCTCTTCTTTTGAGAGTTCTCTTCATGGCTTTTAGCAATGTGATCTTGCCCCCCACTTAGGCATGTAACTATATTCCCCGGTTTTTGGGATAGGTATGAAAGAAAGGCTTACTTTTCTTTTTAGGCTCAACTTGGTTGACGAAAGGATGACACTTTTTGGGTAAAGTGTTTGGGGATTAGGCTCATGAAAGATGGCCTTTGATCCTTGAGCTTTTTACTTTAGACCTCAAAAATGATGACAATCATTCAACTTAAGTTAACAAGATCTCCTTATTCTCTCTTTTTTTCTTTTAGATCTTTGCTCACCATTTTCTTCTTGTATGAGTCTATCACATTTGACTGCAACTTTGGCCTCTATTTTGCAACACATCAATTAGTTCAAGGGAAGAATCTAGATCACCAACATCTTCCTCGACATGGATTTGGATCATTTGAAACATATACCAATCCGGAAATGGCATCATTGTATTCAGATTCATCATTAGCAAAGCCTGAAAGCAAAAGGAAACATGGATAAGCAACAGCATGTGAGGAAAGCATATATATGCAAGTAAGATTTTTTTCTTTTTTGTTTTTTTGATTTTTTTTTTTTGAGCATATTAATGGCATCAAGAAGAGTTGCATTAAGTTTGAAAGATGACAATATGGCAACATATATTACTGAATTGTAAAGACTGGGAAAACTAATTAGCATGATAGCAAATATTTCAGAGAATATAAAAGAGCTTGTTATTCCCTCCTTTCATGTAGCCACAAGCTGAGCTACTAGAAAGCTAACTCATCCCACTCATGGATGAATGAAGCAGAGAAAAGCTTGACTGTCCAATTGGTCAAAGTGTCCCCAAGGCAGAAGTAATGGTCATGTCAAATAAGGGTTCATCCCTAGGAGCAATAATACTTGAATTTCCCCATGTCCTAGATTTGCCCCCTCATTCATTGAATCTAGATCCACATGTCAGTCCACTTCAACATCATATCTTGGTGAGCTTATAACAGCATGTTGAAGGTTGCCTTTTAGATGGATGATGCATTGCTCCAAAGAGTGAGAAAACATAGGGAGACTATCATGCTTGATTTTTTTGTTTTTGTTCTTGAAGTAGTTTATGAAACCTACCTACAAACAAAAAGTAAAAAAAAATAAACAAAGTCAGAATAATGTTAAAAGTCATCCCATAATTTTGCATGATTTAGTGCTTCAACAATTGCTATGTGGATTCACACATTGTCGATTTCCAATCCTCAAGGAGCCTCAGATGAAGCAAAATATCTTTGAACACATTAAGATTTCCTTCAGACTAAAAGGGCTGCAGACACTTACAAGCAATTCAACATACATTACAATGATGGTCATTCATTACAAAGCAGAAGCCTAGTACATCACACTAAGTACATCAACATGGTAGCATTCAAGTCCCTAATAAAATTTGACTCCTAGATCTCTCAAAGTACAATTGTTTAATGAGTAGTTGCATTCCTTTCCTTGATGAATCCCTTGAGTGTTGGAGCAACATGAAGTATGATGTGCTTGAGCTTTTGATCTTCGAGGCTGCTCTTGGTTCTTGACTTGGCAATTGTCCACAATGGAGAAAATGCTTGCAATTGAAGATCTCCTGAATCCTTTGTTGGTCAAAGCTTTCTCCACCGATGAATATTTCAAAAGGTGTCTCGACTGACAAAGAATCACAGTTGACCATGTATGAATCCATATTTCAATTGTTGAAGGTAGAGAATCAAACAAGATTATGGGAATGCAGGACAAGAAATAAACATGGATGCTAAACAATAGATGAAGGATGAAGGAACATAAATATGCTCTAAAATGATAATGTGTGTGGAGTTGTATCTTAAAGCATGCATTTTTGGGAATGCAAGAAAAGAAATAAACATGGATGGGAAATGAGTGATAAAGGATGCAAGAATATAAATATGCTAACAAGTGGTAATGTGTGTGAAGTTGTATCCTAAACATGAATTATGCAAATTTCAAAGGAGTAGCTGGTGATTCACTATTGCAAACACTAAATTGGCATTCATGGGAAATATCATTTGAAAAGAAACAAAATGCCATGAAGCTTGAAGAAAAAGTGAATGGTGTGATGCCTGGAGAAAATGATGATGTGATGCTCCAAAATCACGTGCTCAGATTATTTTGATGTCTAAAAGATGGGTTTTTCATGAATTTATCTTTGAAGAACCTCTATTTCCCTTTTTCTTTTTTACACGAAAATGTGAAATGCTTTGGATTTAGTTGAATAAGGCCCACAAGTTTGAAACATGCAACAAAATGCAAGATGGTGAGAACTTCTTCAAATGAGAGCTTG